GGTGAGTAGCTCATTGGTAGGGCACTGCCTTGAATGAATGGGACCCTAGGTTCTCACACACACACACACACACACACACACACACACCCTAACTGTGGGCTATGGCTGGAGGAGCAGGCTGAACCCACATAGTCCATCAGGAAGAAAGCGAGTGCAGAGGGATGCCCAGGGAGGTGCCAACCTGCAAGGTGGCTCAGGCCCTCCAGGCTGGTGGGGAGGTTGCTCTGGGTGCGTTGTGTGTTCCGCAAGTGCAGGGTCTGCAGGGCGGTCATGGCTGGGAGCTGCCTGCCAGGGAAACATGAAATGTCAGGGAAGGGGAAGGGCCCACACAGGGGGTTTGGGTGGTGATGGGAGATTGGAGGGACAGGCACCAGGCCAGTGGCAGCTGTGTGGTGAGGCAGACAGAAAGACAAGACCAAGAGGTAGATCAGGACCCTCGGGAAGGACAGGCCCAGCTTGAGGGTGCCAGCCTACCCAGAGCGTAGGGCCGGGGCTCCTGGGAGCGGGGGTATGACTGGTGTAGGTGCTCACCGGAGCTGTGCATGCAGCAATGGGTTCCCATTGAGCACCAGTGTCTGCAGGTGCACCAGGCGGCGCATCTGGGGTGGCAGGCTCTCCAGACGATTCTCACTAAGGTCCAGGTACAGCAGGTCCGTGAGGTTGATGAAGAGCTGGTTGGGGATAGTGTCGATACTGCGGTGGGTGGGAAAGAGGCAGGGCCGCCTGAGTTAGCTCCAGAGTGCAGCCCCAGCCCCCCAGACACTCTGACTACACCTAGTCAGCACCTGTTATGGCTGAGATTGAGCACCAGCATGTTCTTGGCATTCTCCAGCTCCCGTGGGCACTCAGTCAGCTGATTGTAGCTCAAGTCCTGGGCAGAAGGGACAAGGCCCAGGTCAGGGGTGTTCCCACCCTGCCAAGCCTCTGCCATTCTCAGGGATTAGGCAGGACACTAAGCAGGGAGTGGATGGTGGGGAAGTGGCTCAGGGACAAAGGGAAACAGTAGGATCCTGGCAGGAAGGGGGTGAGGATTAGGGATCTGACGCCACCAGTGACCTCAGGCAAGGTGCTGCCCATTCTAGGCCTCAGTTTCTTTATCTGTAAAATTAGATAGTGACGGCCCCCCAAGGACTGGTCATGAAGGGTGACTGGAATGGTTGGGGGTTGGGCCAGCCTAAGGGCCAGACAGGTGGGTAACCACTGACCAGGACTGAGAGGTCATCCAACTTGAAGATGTCGTCAGGGACTCCAGAATTCTTCAGGCTATTGGCTCGAGCTACAATGGCCTAGGGAGAAATGGTGAGAATCTGATTCCTGGTTTCCCTACCCAGGAGGAGCAGAGGGTCAGGACGGGATGCCTCCTTGGGAAGACCACCAGAGGGTAGGCCTGAGTGCTCTCCTACCTCTGGTCTTTGTTCACACAGTTCCTCCAACTGATGGGCTTTTTCCTAGCCTCCTGGTGAACTCCTATTCAAACCTAAAAGTCCAATCCTCTGGGGCCTTCAGGAGAACTTTTCTTTCTTTTCTTTTTGTACTGGGGATCTAAATCAGGGGTGCTTTACCACTGAACTTATTTTTTTGAGACAGGGTCTCATTAAGTTGCTTAGGGCCTTGCTAAGTTGCTGAGGCTGGTCTTGAACTTGCGATCCTCCTGTCTTGGCCTCCCGAGTCACTAGATTACAGGCATGCACCACCATGTGTAACAGGAAACATTTTCTGATCAAACAATCCCCCTGCCCCTTTTTCTTCCCAGTACTGGTGATTAAATTTAGGGGCTCTCTACCAGCTTCTGGCCAGACTCTGGGTCCCTAACCCCAGCCTGAAGGCCTCCTGGCCAGTACTCACCCGCAGTGAAGGCAGGCTGGACAGCTCCCCATGAAGTGTAGTCAGGTTGTTGTGGCTCACAGACAAGTGCTCCTGGGCCAGGACAGGGGAGCAAAGGCTCAGCAGGGTGGGTAGGGGGTCCAGAATTCCTATCTGTCTCCACAGCTCTGCACCATTCAGGAGAAGCCACCACCAGCCAATCCACTTCTTCAGCCTCCCTCCCCTTATAGACCAGGCCTCTTCCTGTTCACCTTCTGGGACGGAGGGCTCACTCCTGCCTGCCAGCTTTGCTCACAGCTCTGCGTGTCCTTCCTCTATGTCTTTGTCAGCTCCATAGGCTTAGCCCACCTGGCCCAGCCCCAGCCCCAAAATACCTCCCTGCCTGCCCAAGGCCCCTTACCAGCTTCTGTAGGGCAGCCAGCTCTTCTGGCAGGTAGCAGAGGCCTGTGCGGTTCAACTTCAGCCATCGCAGGCTGGTCATGGCCTTGACATTCTCAGGGAAGTAGCCACCCTGTGTGTGGGGAGGTTGGATTTCACGGTGAGGATGGTCTGGGAAAGGGGTGCCTATGCTCCACCACATTCTGTGGCTCCCACTGCCCATGGAAGTCTTCAGGGAGCAACAGAGCCAGCCCACCAGCTGTGAAACCCTGGACAAGTCACTTTTCACTCTGTGCCTCAATTTTTTTCACCCATAAAATTAAACTAATAAAAGACAAAGTGTCAGCCTGCCTCTCCTGCTCAACTCTGAGACCCAGGAAGGCTGGACAAGACTGTCTTATCTGGGGTGATGCCCAGCATCCCACTTTGTGGTCAGCTCTGCTCGCATTCCTTTGCCTGGAGTCCGGGCTCTCATTGGACTGCCTGGAGGGGGAGTTTTCCCGAGCCTCTGTGAAGTCCCCACTAGGCTCCCACCCTGCCATCAGCACAGGACCCATTCCTGGCAAGGTCCAAACCAACACTGCAGCTGAGGGTCCACCTCCTCACCCTGCACAGGTATTACCTTTTGTGTTCAATCACTCGCCATATTCCAATGCCCACCTCATCAGCTTCTGCCCTTTGTGCACAGAGTCTGGGTGGCTTATGCCTTTAGTGCCTTTGGCTGCTGGGTCCCTTCCCCCTGCAGCCATATTCTTGCCTGGTGACTCAGATTCTCCCAGTCCACAGGAGACACGTGGAGACCCCAGGTCAGGAAGGACAGTAGGGATGGATCAGAGAAAAGTGATGTGGTCACCTATGCATGGGGTCAAAGGTGTGTGCACGTACAGGTAATGGCAGGAAGAGCCTGCCTGCCTCCTCCCCAGTCCCAGCCAGTAGCTGCCCACTACCTCCTGGAGCACCAGCATTCAGAACAGCTCTGCCGCCACCTTCTTCTCCACCTCCCCTCTGGCCCTGACACCTTCCACCTTGTCACCTTTCTTGACAGCCTAGAACCGCCTCTCTTCCCCACCAATTGGCTTGCGGGCGCCTGGGGCCGGTCAGTTCGGACTACACCGCCCAGTACCTCTCCCAGCTGCCTGACGCTCTCGGTACCAAGAGATCCAGCCTCGTCCAGAGGTCCAAACGGCTACATTGAAGCCCCATGAGCAGATGAGAAAACCCAGGCACCGAGAGGGGAAGTGACTTGCCCAAGACCACACAGGATGATGGTGGCGGGGAGGGTGACGAAGAGCTGGCTCCACACCCGCCCCTGGGCAGCCCTGGCAGCTCGGCTGGCCGGCAGAGTCCGGGCCTGGCTCGGGCGTGTCACCTCGGAGGGGCGGGAGCCGGGATCGCCGACCGCCAGGCCACGCTCCCGCCCGGGCGGAGAACTGCGCGTGGAGTCGCAGCTCCAGCGGGGCCCCCCTCGGTCCGCCGGGG